AAATTGATATTCCAAAAAACTGTTTTGTTAAAATGCTCTTGTCAACCAAAATAGAGTATGTGTTTTTATTAAATTTAGATATAATTCTTGATAGTTTTAAAAATGGCATCTAAACAGGTTAGATATTGAGAATCATAAAAAATTTAGATATTTTAATATTGTTTTTCTCAAAGACACGGGCAGATTCAACATCAATTTGTAAAAGTTTTGCAATAAAGATTGCAAATGGTTTGAACATATCTTATTGTATAAATACTATACAAATGGTTTAAACACAAGTTCTTACAACTTACTAGGTTCTCACCAAACAACTGTCAATATATATACATAGGGAAAATAAGTGAAAAGGAATATTGATGTACAAACAAGTTTGTTAAATTGAAACATACATTTGTTACATATGATAAATATATAATTATATAGAGTGTAAGTGTTAGGCAGTAATAATTAATTAAATCTACCAGAATCTCTTACAAATTTATGAACTGACTGAAAAATATATTTATTGATTTCTACATTTTGTGACTCATCTCCCCACAGAAGTAAATGACAATCAATAATGTTCAATTTGATATTTGGTTTCGTAAGACAGTAAATCTCTGAATAGCTTTTCTCTAGCAAATTGGTACTTATTGCAGACAAAGAAAAAATGATATGAGTCTTCTGGTGTACCACATGAACAGTTAGGACTCTCGATAATGTTTCTTCTATAAAGATCATAATTTAAAATGCAATTGTGTCGTTGTTTAGTATGTATGATATTAAGTCGTCTATTACCATGGGAGAAATAAGAAGGGGGGTCTGCTGGTTTTTTATGTATGTTATTTTTAAAGCTGCTAAAAGATATGCTGTTTATAGTGGTGATACTCAGCATATTCCATTGGTTTATTGTATCAGGAACAAAAGATTTCTTGAATATTTCAAGTCTACATCTAGGAATAGTGTAGTCCTCTCTATTGCGTGTATCGTACTTTGATTCATTACGTCTTGTTGCGGGAAAAATACTTTTTAAATAATCGGGTACTAAGATGTGATGTAGTTTGTACATAGTATTTAGCTTTGCTACTTTTCGCCTATCTGCAAGAGGTTCCCATCCTGTTTCTAAATATAATGCATCTCTTGAAGCGATAATTGGGTACCCTGTAATAATTCTTGCAGCATAAAGCTGCACCATTTCTAATCGTTCAACATCTTGTAAAGAACACCCGTTCCAAACTATAGAACAATATTCAAGTAGCGGTCTAATACATGTTATGTACATTTTAGATAAAGTTTTTCTACCGATATTGTATTTCAGCTTTTTTAAAAGACCTAATCTTTGGTAAGCCTGTTAAACCATATTGTCTATATGATCAGACCAATTAAGATTTTGGCTCAAAAGTAAAGCCAAATGCTTATGAGAGGTTATGTCTTCTAGATTACATCGTTGAAATTGTAATTTTGGGAGATAATAATTGGATTTTAATGTAAAGAGTAATGCTTTCGTTTTAGATGGGTTAAATTTCATTGGCCGTTTGGAAGACCACTTTTCCAGAATATCTTAATCATGATTTAAAGTATATTCAATAGTTGCAACATGATAAGAGGAACTTTGCAACGAGTTGACATCTGCAAACAATCTACACAATGAAATCATGTAAATCACATAAATCAAAAAAGTAAAGGACCAACAACAGATCCTTGTGGTACACCAGCGTTAATGTTTCTGTTAGACGAAAAAATCTGCAAACAATCTACACAATGAAATCATTTTTTTTCTGATACATCATTCACATAAATCAAAAAAAGTAAAGGACCAAGAACAGATCCTTGTGGTACACCAGAGTTAATGTTTTATGTTTATGTTTAATGTTTAAAAATATCTTTGTAAATAACTTTCTGTCTTCTGTTACATAGGTAACTCTCTATCCAGGTAAGAATATTTCCACATAATCCATAAGATTTTAAATATTCTCATGGCAAATGAATATTATTGATTTTAATAAGTTTTAACATGGATTTGTTGTGATTTGGTGTTGTGAGGTATGTTCTCTGAGACATGCTGTATGAAAATTAACTTGCAAAGATATGTCTTTTATGGGTGTTTTAGTTAGGTTTAGTCCTATTTAAGATATTCAAATTAAAAAAAAATTATCAGTTTGACAGAAGATTCCGAAAGTACAGACCTACCTTAACATGAATGTATTTTTCCTAATTGTATTGTCTAGGTGACACTTTTGATGTTTTAGATGTTCAAACTTAATCTCCCCTAATTGTATTGAACGCAATTATGAGCTTTCGTGTTTTTTTTTTCCGTTTTTTAATATTTCACTCTCTACTCGGAACTCTAAAAATATATATCAAATTAAACGGAATTTTTTATGAAGTTGTTAAAATACTTAATTAGTAGCAATGTTGTAATTTCAATGATATTAAAGAAAGGAATATAGACAAGCTCTGATTAAAAAAAATAAGAAAACAAAAGACCGAACCTGAAAATTTACATAGGGTCTTGGGTTACAGCATTTTGACATCAGAACAAATGCTAAATTAGCTTGCAATCTACATAATTGTATTTTTATGAAAGAAGAACACGCCATTTGTCCATTCCTTTTACCTATTTCACTGAAGAGTATCTTAACAAATTTTTTGTTGTGTTAATTTCATAAAAAAATATCAAAAGATGACGAAGATGATTGTTTTCTACTATTCTGTTTGATAAGACAAATATTCAGCTTAAGGAAAAAATCACAAAACTCAGATCTCAAACAGAATCGAGAATGTCTAAAATGCATTATATGGAAATAACGAAAAGTACTAGTATTCAAGCTTAAAAGTCATGAAAACTGTAAGAAATAGGAGCAAAGCAAACCATTTTGTTCCAAAAAAAGATCACATTAACAAAGCACATTGTTTAAAACACATATATGATACATTAGAATAGAAATAAAAGATACTAACACTAAGTATTTAAATTAATACAATATTTATACACTGAATTGACGACGGATTTTCCGTCATTTCCTGGTCATGACAAGGGTCACACGGCGGGTGTGATCGGTCGGCAGGGGATGCTCACTCCTCCATGGCACCTGATCCCACCTCTGATGTTTCAGAGGTTCGTGATTGCCATGCTCCTATTTTGTATTGTTTTATAGACTTGGTCTTGAATACTGTTCGTTATTTTCATTGAATTGATGATGACAGTACCATAACGTTTATTCTTTATATTCATGATCTATTTTCTTGCTGCATAGAAAAAAATATTCACGATATAATTGGGCAAAATGTCACACATAATATTAAAAAAATCTTTACTTATATGGTTTTTAAAATTTCATATCAAAATGTTGTAAATTAATATCAATTTTTGGTGATTAATCAGGACATATCATTACGTCACGGAGGAACAAAATCTTCGACGTCACGGACATTATAGAAAAATATGAGATTCAAGTTCATTTTCTCAACATTTTCCCGATATTTTCTGTACAGTTTGAGTAACTTTATCTACTATACATCAATGCAGCATATTCTTTTTTTTCAAACCAAAAACTGAGAAATAGTGTGATATTGGTGACTCTCAATCACGTTCTTTACCGTCCGGATCAGGTTTTCGTCGATTATCTTCTTCCTATCTTATCTAGCCTTTTTGCAAAGGTCTAAGGATCTAAAATTCCAAAATACTATTTATAGACAAATGTCACCAATAGCCCAGTTTACTACATGCCTTATTCTGCATATTTTGGATCTATGTTGACGATATCTCAAGCATTACACATAATCTAACAAAACTGTGGTGCTCTGTTAATTTAAGAGACGTCATTTTCTCAGGAATTGCATCGGAGAAAAATCACTTTATTTCATTTAGTACTACAAATATCACGTCAGAAATATAAATACATATTGATACAACAAAATAAAAATACCTTTGAGAAAATAGTCGAAAAATATCGCGTTTATAGAAAATTAATGATTCTGCATGTTTGTGTTTCAAATTTTTGTCGTGTTCCGTACCTCTCCATCTGGGATATCAACACGGCGGAAATTTTTAGAGAAGATTTTAAAAATACAGAAATTTTGGTAAAAATATATTGAAATCTTTAAGATACATATTTCTCTGAGATTTCAGCATAAATTTTGAACGGCCCTCGTATTTATACAAACTCAAAGGATATTGCGTCAGACTTTTAAAGATAAAATAATGTGTGTGAGATTCATGTGCAATCTTAGCTATTCACCATTTTGGGTCTCGTAAACCAAGGTATTATTTTACATGTAACACGCCAAGTATGATACTGAAAGAGTTCTCTTGTTATTTTCGTTCTTCTAAGAATCGCTCTGTACTGTCAGAAGAAATAAATTCAAAATTGAATAAACCATTGATGATATATTGTGTTACATTAACATTTAGAGGCTAATGTATCAAAGTTGAAATAATTCAATAAATTATTAATAATGACTGAGAGTCAGATAATTGTTTCTTTTAATTTATTTTTAATTTGATTCAAGAAAATAAAAACTTATTTTCCATATTTAAAGATAGCTAATGATAACAAAAACCACTGTATAACAAGACAGACATTAACTAGTTTAAAAAACAACAGAACACTTCTGTTAAATTTTAAATCGCAATTTCAAAAAAAAAAAAAAAAAAAATTGACAATTCTCATAAACTTAAAAAATCGATACTTAAACAACAGTAAAATATAGAGAACGTAACAGTAAGCCAATCATTTTTCACTCATTGATTAAGATACGATATATATATTTGGCTGTTGAAAGACCAATTAGCAGAAATTTCAGGATTCACAAGAACGCAGAATTTTTTATCTTAAAAAAGTAAAAAAAAAAAAATGGGCAGTCGATGGGTTATCTCCTTAATGGTCGGCTTCTTAGCTTTATCTAAAGCAAGCATTATTTCTCAGAAATTTATTGCAATAATGGAGTTTAATAATAAAATATCAAACTATGAGATTTTAGGAGAACAGAATTCTCATTCTTTGACCGGGTGCGCCGCAATGTGTCAAAGGGAGTGCGTCTTCTTCGGTTTTAATTCGCAAACGAAGAAATGTCGAACCCACAAGAAAAGTCTAACGTCTGGTACGTCTGAGCAGGCCGGGTGGAGATACTACTCAGATAATGGTATGTACACATATTATTCTTCTTTCTGTTTGCTTCTTTGTTTTTTAAGGTTCTTCTCGAAAAGACACGACTTATTCTCTTGACATTTCTTTTTAAGTGGTATATGTGTATTTTCAACATAAAAAGAAATAATATTCATTTAGTCTTTGTTATGAGGATCATTCTTAACCATAAGAAAATTATAGCCATGTAATTAACTAAAAAAAAAAATCAACGAAAAAAACTTACCTGAAGCTAGTTTCTCGAAATTGCTATCTTGAAAACAGCTGTCCTGAAATCTGAGGACATGGAGATAACGAACAGTATTCAATCTCAAAGTCCAATACAAAATAGGAGCAGAGCAAACACGGACCACTGAAACTCAGATATGGGATCAGGTGCCATGGAGGAATGAGCATCTTGAGAGTGAGATTAAATCTTGTGCCATGGAGGAGTAAACATCCTCTGTCGATCGGTCAATTCCACAGTGTGTCCCCTCTCCTGATCTGGAAAACGGAAAGTTTTAGGACAATTCATTGTAAAAATATAGGCCTTACAATCTGTTATAAAGTCAGTCTGAATTTGATAGACTGTGTTGGGAAACATTGTCATTGTATCAGCCTTAGAAATATACGAAAGGTTAAATTTCACATACATTATAGCATACAAAAAATGTAGATATCGTGGATTTTACTATATTTTTTAACATCTAATTTATGGTCCAAATGGTATAACATCTGATCTAAAAATGCATCCCTCTTTAACATTTCTGTCAATCCACGGAGTATTGAAAATAGTTGTATATTATTTTAAATACTTTTAATTATGTCATAAATCAGAGATTTGTAGCAATTAGAAAATAAAAAAAAAATGATTTAAGATAATGAGGAACAACTTACCTAATCTGCATGGTAGATGTTGTTAACATTGTAGCTGCAGTTATTAACTTTCATATATCATGCAGGGATTATATATCTTCTCACTTCTTGTACATACGCATAACATGATCCCGTCATTTTTTTTAGATTTTGTTTTCTCTGCCATTCCCAAAGATTGCAATGATCTTCACGAGGACGGACAAACCATCACAGGGGTGTATGATATATACCCCTACAGTACATTAACCATTCCAATAAGTGTATATTGCGATATGACGACAATGGGCGGGGGGTGGACGGTATGTAGTTTCTTCTAAAAAAAAAAAAAATAAATAATGCAACTTAAATTGGGTCTGTTGTTTTAAGATTGTAAGATAAAGATTATGAATATATTGGGTTTATATCATAATAATTAATTGTTCCAAGCAATAAATTGAATTGTTATGCATGTTAATTTTCAAAGGCCATTCAGAAACGCGTAGACGGATCCGTGATCTTTGACAGGAACTGGGCGGATTATAAGAATGGTTTTGGTTCACCGGAACAGGATGTCTGGGTTGGTAAGTGTAAATGTAAATAAGAACTTTTTATTCCTTCAGAGTTCGAAGATAAAAAAAATCTTGTGGCAGGTAAAAATTATAAAGCGTAATAAAGATCTAAATTTAAGACTAGGTAATGTGTGTTCTACGATATTCAGATATCGTGTTTTATTGACTTCTCAAATAATTAGAAAAGAAAAAGAAAAGAAGAATATCATTTAGCGGCATATTATTATGAGACAAAATTAAGCAATTTAGTCTACAGCGAAGGAAAAAAAAAAAGATTTTTCATTACGGTAGATTCAATTTTTAAAAAGAATTAAATGTTAATGCAATGGGTTTTTCAGCTGATTTCACATAAATCTTAATACAGGAAATGACGTTATCCATCAATTAACAAAAGAAAATTCATCATCCTTGTATGTGTCCATCACTCTCCAGAATGGTACAACACAGTATATAATGTACGACCGATTCTCTGTCTCCGACGAAGCAGGAAAATATCAACTCTTTCTTACAGGAGCTGCTACGGGGACCTTAGGTGAGTGTATTCACGTTAAGTTTCTTAAAATTAGGTTCAACTTACGTATATTATCATAATACCTTTTGTGTTGAAATATTATCATGATGTTGAAAAAATTCTTTCTGATATTTTGTTTACGTTTTCGATTCCACAATAATTAAACATGTTTAATATACTAGCGGAAATAAGAAACTGTGCAGTATTTTATACATGAATAAATAATAAAAATAACAATGAACAAATTTTTATTTTTTGTAATACCATTAACAAATGCATTCATAACAACATTTGATAATTCATAAAGTTAACGTCAATTTATGAACACTGGATAGACACTGGTATCCAAAATTGACTTAAGAAAGTCAATAACTTGTGTGACCACCATTTGCATTAACGCATTCTTGACAACGGCGCCTCAATGAAGACACTAAAGTGTTCAGATGTGCTTGGGGGATGTTGTGTCAGATGATGATTAAGGCCTGGATTCAATCAGTCAGCGTCACTGGCTGATTTAGCAAACGGCGAGAAATCGGGGGAAACAGCTAGCCAAGGCAAGACATCGGCATGCTAATGAACGAAAACTACGCATGCAACATGTGGTCTTGCGTTATCGTGCTGTAAGGTAATGTGATTTTTTGTCCCTGTATCAAAGGTTCCACATGGCGCTGAGAAATGTTGTCTCGATAGCGCACGCCGGAGAAATTTCCATTGACGATTTGAAGAGGGGTCCTTCCACATGCTCGATTCCACCCCATACCATAACTCTTTCTCCACCGAATTGTCGCTGTTGCACAAAACAAGCGTCCTGGTACCGCTTCCTAATGCGACGATACACTCTTCAACGGCCGTCACTTCTATGCAAATGCATTTTGGACTCGTCCGTGAACAGAATATTGGCCTAATCCTGTAGTGTGAATTGCAGATGTCGTCTGCACCACGCTAGTCTTGCGATATGATGAAAAAGTATTGTGCGAATAGCTGTAAGTCTTGGTCTGTTGTTGTGCTCTCGCAGACGATTGTGCACAGTTCTTGAACTGATTGGTCTAAGTCCAGGAATGGTTCTAGCAGTCACACTTGCTGTCTGGAACCAATTTCTCAGGTGCACGAGTCTAATGTGGTTGTCCTGTTGACGCAACGTCACACGAGGACGCCCAGAGTGTGGTCGATCCCTAGTATTACCAGATTGTTGAAAACGTGTCCATTATGTTTGGATGATTTTTCGGTTTTTCGGTCTTGTAAAATCCAAAGCGTCTTGCAACGTTGATGTTTGCCATTCCAGTTGATTGATTGATTGTATATTGTTTAACGCCCCTCTCGAGAATTTTTCACTCATATGGAGACGTCACCGAATGCCGGTGAAAGGCTTCAAATTTGGACCTTTACTCGGCACTTAGGGTCATTGAGCAGTGAGGGATATCTTTGCTGCCAACGCCTGCCACTAACGGTTTTTACGGTCTCATCAGAAGGACCTGCATTTTTCACTTCAAAGTGCCGAGCGTAAAGCGAAGAATCAGTTGCTACCCATTTTATCGACTAGGTCAGTCGCCGCCGAGATAAAAAGGCACGACCTCTCGATCACGGAGAGAGCGTCTACCGAGTGATCTACCGTAAACTCCAGCTTGACACATCCCAATAGCAATATAACTGTTCAATAAATAATGTTCATAACTGTATGACATATAATACAGATATCATATGACATTAAGCTTGACTTTCTCTCATTGTTTAATCTTTAATGAATTTATAACAGTTTATGTGACCACTTTTTATCACATAGTGAGAAGTTGAGACTGCATTATAAATGAGTGGTTAAGAAGAAGTAAATAGAGTGAAAATAAAAGCTTCATTAAAGCTGCTGTAAAACTTGTTAAAAATCCCAAAGAAATATTCATTGAAATATGTGAAATTTACAGCATTCAATGCCTGTTTTACAAACAAATGAGCAGTTGGATTTCAATGATAAAAAAATTGAATAATGGGCATCAAAAACGGGTACCGTCCTTGCCAAAAAAAAATTATAACAACTTATATACTCTTTGCCAAATTTCAACCGATAATATTTGATGATGTGTGATTGACTTTAAGACACATAGCAAATTCAATAGACATCATTTCGGGGTGTAGTTTACACTGTTTTTAAAGCAATATGAGCTGAATGTTTGACGTCAGAAAAAAATTCAAATTTGTCATTAACTATATCAATGACAGAAAAATAGAACATTTATGATATTCTGTTGTTCATATTTGAAATGCAAGAGCTTTTTATACGCTTTGATTGAAGCCAAATTGTATTATTATCGTATTGTACAACAATAATTTCTTATATAATAATGTATATTCAGTTGTACTGAAACATTTCTTTTTTCTAATGAAACATTTTTTAAACTTTATTTTGGTTTTATTGATCATAGGGGTTGAGATTACATACAGATTAATCAAAATAACACATTTTACCAGCAAAATAAAATCTTCAAAAATGCTGTTAATACTGCTTTAAGAAACGTTTGATGGTTAAAAAGCTTAGTACTCAAAGGTCACCCTTTATTTTGAAAAATTAGTGAAAACGACATGTACGAATGTCTTAACAATTGTTTTAAGATATCAGTAATTTTATCCACATTTAGTAATTTTATCCAGTTATCCACATTTGCATGATATTTAAACAGATAATGGAACTTGAATATATTGTTTAAAAGCCTCAAAACAAAATTTACCATAAAATATACTTGATAAAAACAGCAAAGGTCTGACAAAAGCAAGGAATTGCAAGAGCACAAAGACAGATTTATATCCAATTTCTTAAATATTAGTGGTATTGTTGTTCAAATTCGAGGAGACAGTTTATTTTCTGGAGGAGGCTAGAGAGCAAATATTTTGCAAAAAATCGAAAGGTTCATGAGAGGAAGGACCCAGAATCAGGAATCCACTATATTAAATTTCTTCATGACAGCGTCCAAATCCGCACGCCCTGAATAGTAAAGGGATATTTGGGAGAAAGAGAAATTTATTGTTTTTTCACATTAACAGTATTTGCAAGATCTTTGACGTAATACAGCTTAAGAAGATAATGACAGATTGACTGGAAATGACCGTTGTGTCTATTTATATTGTTATAATATTGTATTTCGGGAGACAGCATGAGAAGATAATGTCAGATTGACTGGAGATGACTGTTGTGTCTATTTATATTGTTATAATATTGTATTTCAGAAGACAGCATGAGAAGATAATGACAGATTGCCTGGAGATGAATGTTGTGTCTATTTATATTGTTATAGTATTGTATTTCAGGTGACAGCATGAAAAGAAAACGACAGATTGACTGGAGATGACTGTTGTGTGTATCTATATTGTTATGATATTGTATTTCAGGTCGAGGGTCCTTATTTCACCATGTTGAACTCACAAGGGGTAATTAATTGTTTTATTATACCGATATATTGAAAAGTATGAATCTCTAACCGTTATCAATTCTTTCTTTGATCGGGATAGGGATTCGCTACAGACCGGATAGCGAAGTTGTTTACATTGGCGTCTGCAAGTCGTGTAAGTTTTTGCATCATGATTTACTGATAATGATTACTGATGATAACAATATTTATTTGATAGCGACATACATTGTTATAACTAACGATTACTTTTCCTCTACTCAGAATACTCACTCAAAATCTAGCACAGAATTGAACTCTTTTAAGAGCCGTCTCTACATTCTATTGAACTGAATTGTAACGATATATTTTACCGTATTCTGTTATGTAATGCAAAACAGACCATGCACAATTTAAAAAAAAATGTTGTTTTTTTTTTCGAATAATTATTATTTTTAGCATTAACTTCACTCAAAAATGAATTTCTGATTAAGCGGTCATTTTTAGCGGTCATTAAAAAAAATGACCGGGTCAATATATCCCACGTGCAATGATTCCTAGGTCAGTATTGCAGTAAACAATACCATTTGGAGTTTTCTTACCAGCCAATCAAATTCGAGCATTATCAATAGAGGTATAATAAATTGTTATAATATTGTTTTTCAGGAAACAGCATGAGAAGATAATGACAGATTGACTGAAGATGACTGTTGTGTCTATCTATATTGTATAATATTGTATTTCAGGAGAGAACAAGAGAAGATAACGACAGATTGACTGGAGATGACTGTTGTGTCTATTTCTATTGTTATAATATTGTATTTCAGGAGACAGCATGAGAAGATAATGACAGATTGACTGGAAATGACTGTTGTGTCTATCTATATAGTTATAATATTGTATTTCAGGAGACAGCATGAGAAGATAATGACAGATTGACTGGAGATGACTGTTGTGTCTATTTATATTGTTATAATATTGTATTTTAGGAGACAGCATGAGAAGATAATGTCAGATTGACTGGAGATGACTGTTGTGTCTATTTATATTGTTATAATATAGTATTTCAGGAGACAGCATGAGTAGAAAACGACAGATTGACTGGAGATGACTGTTGTGTGTATCTATATTGCTATGATATTGTTTTCATAAAGATAATGACAGATGACTGAAGATGACTGTTCATTTATATTGTTATGATATTGTATTGCAATAGACAGCTTGAGAAGATAATGACAGATTGACTGGAAATGATTGTTGTGTCTATTTATATTGTTATAATATTGTATTTCAGGAGACAGCATGAGAAGATAATTACAGATTGACTGGAGATGACTGTTGTGTCTATTTATATTGTTATAATATTGTATTATAGGAGACAGCATATATATAATATACAGATTGACTGGAGATGACTGTTGTGTCTATTTATATTGTTATAATATTGTATTTCAGGAGACAGCATGAGAGGATAATTACAGATTGACTGGAGATGACTGTTGTGTTTATTTATATTGTTATAATATTGTATTTCAGGAGACAGCATGAGAAGATAATGACAGATTGACTGGAGATGACTGTTGTGTCTATTTATATTGTTATAATATTGTATTTTAGGAGACAGCATAAGAAGATAATGACAGATTGACAGGAGATGACTGTTGTGTCTATTTATATTGTTATAATATTGTATTTCAGGAGACAGCATGAGAAGATAATGACAGATTGACTGGAGACGACTGTTGTGTCTATTTATATTGTTATGATATTGTATTGCAGGAGACAGCATGAGAAGATAATGACAGATTGACTGGAGATGACTGTTGTGTCTATTTATATTGTTATAATATTGTATTTCAGGAGACAGCATGAGAGGCCCTGATCCGGCTGGGATGTACTTCTCGACCCCAGACAGGGATAATGACAAGTGGAGTGATAATAACTGTGCTGCTGCTTTCAAAGGAGGCTGGTGGTTTATCCGCTGTAACAGAGCCTTCCTTAACGCTCCATGGGCCCCTACAGTACGTGGAATACCATTAAAGAGGACGTTAATGATGGTCAAACGTAACTAGGTAAACATCATTCAGTCTTAATAACAAGTTTTTTATGTTTGTATAACTGTGAAAAGTTAAGTTATAAAGGTTTTATTTTAGTAGAAAACATATGCCATTATACATGTATATTAGAAGAATTTATTTTTTTTTTTACAGATGAAAGATCATATATGGATTATGCAAGCCCTCAAAAGAAGATTTTTGATTAATTTCTCACGCTGATTTTTTTTAGATATTAAACATCAAGTAATAAACATGTAAACAAATATGTTTTCGGTAAATAAAGGGGGTTTAACTATTTTGCGAAGCGATACTGAATGTATTCAGTAAAAGATGTACTTTAAATGTGTTGTAATAAATTTGAAATTATCATTATTTCGTTGCTATTTACAAAAACTGATAAATGATGATGTTTGGACAGATAATAAACCTATTATAGTGGAATCTGTTTAATCCAACACATTTGCAATACGTTTTTACTATGGGGTCCGCCATTCAATTCCATTTCTCATTTATACTTATGTCAATGATCTTTACACGCTGCAATACTACATCTTGTTTATTCCGACATTTGTTATCTGTTCCCCGTACATGTCGGATAAGATAGGTTTCATTGTATAAAGATGTAATATATAAAAAGAACCATATATATACAGTTAAGATGTATATAATAATATATATATATGTATTGTATATATATATATATATATATATATATATATATATATATATATATATATATATATATATATATATATATATATATATATATATATATATATATATATATATATATGTTTGATGGTCATGTTTTGTAGTACAATACATCTAAAATTATACTTCTCTAAAAACATATCCCCATCTTTTTCCATCCATGCTGTATTTTGAATGTATATGATGATTCATTATCTATTAATCTACTTAAAACCGCTTAAATTTGTTATTTTTTTTTAGTATCATGGAGAAAATAAACTAAATAGTTGAGAAGTGGGATATACTGAATATTTTTTTTCAACAAATTCAATCATACCATAAATATATCTAATTTGCTTGAATTTTAGGTTTGGCAAGAAACCCAATGATACTAGATTCTCAATGATACTAGATTAGGAGCTTAAAATAAAAAAATAATATTTTCCGAAGATCAAAATCTTTTATTGCTACAGGTAATAATTAAAAAAAATTGCTTTTGGATCCACAAAATACGTTACAGTAGACTTGTATCGATACTGTAATTTTTCTTATTTCAAAACACCATAACACACATCGGGGGTCAAAAGGTTACAATGTGGAATATGCCTTTTATTCTGACGTCACAAACGTTAAATACAGTGCAAGAGCAATGCCATAAACGAAGATCAAAATTATTTAGATTTATTGTTATTAGCTCACCTGAGCCAAAGGCTCAAGTGAGCTTTTCTGTTCAAAATTTGTCCGTTGTCTGTCGTTGTCGTCGTCGTAAACTTTTCACATTTTCATCTTCTTCTCAAGAACCACTGGGCCAATTTTTAACCAAACTTGCTACAAAGTATCCTTGGGTTAAGGGGATTCAAGTTTGTTCATATGAGGGGCCACGCCTTTTTCCAAGGGGAAATAATTATGAATAAAAGAAAAATTAATGGCATTTTAAAAAAAAAATCTTCTTCTCTAGAACCACTGGGTCAGGAAAGATGAAACTCATGTGAAATCATCCTCAGGTAGTGTAAATTCAAGTTTATTCAAATCATGACCCCCGGGGGTAGGATGGGGCCAAAATGGCCGATCAAAGTTTTACATAGGAATATATATGAAAAATCTTTAAAAATCTTCTTCTCAAGAACCACTGGGCCAGAAAAGATGAAACTCATGTGGAATCATCCTCAGGTGGTGTAGATTCAAATGTGTTCAAAACATGATCCCTGGGGGTAGGGTGGAGCCAAAATGGCCGATCAAAGTTTAACATAGGAATATATAGGAAAAATCTTCTTCTCAAGACCCATTGAGACACGAAAGATGAAACCCTTGTGGAATCATCCCCAGGTAGTGTAGATTCAAGTTTGTTCAAATCATGACCCCAAGGGGTAGGGTGGGGCCAAAATGGCCGATCAAAGTTTAACATGGGAATATAAAGGAAAAATCTTTAAAAATCTTCTTCTCAAGAACCACTTGGCCAGGAAAGATGAAACTCATGTGGAATCATCCTCAGGTAGTGTAGATTCAAATTTGTTCAAATCATGATCCCTGGGGGTAGGGTGGAGCCAAAATCGCCGATCAAAATTTTACATAGGAATATATAGGAAAAATCTTCTCAAGACCCATTGAGACACGAAAGATGAAACTCTTGTGGAATCATCCCCAGGTAGTGTAGATTCAAGTTTGTTCAAATCATGACCCCCAGGGGTAGGATGGGGCCAAATGGCTGATAAAAGTTTTAAATAGGAATATATATGGAAACCTTTAAAAATCTTCTTTTCAAGTACTTCAAAGCCATGCTTAGTGATATTTATAGGGAATCATCCTCAGGTATTGTAGATTCTATTTTGTTCAAATCATGACCCCTTGGGGGGTAAAAATTCAAGCCCCTCAAACCCTTCCCGCCCCCGCCCCGCCCTCAGTAAATTTTCAGTTCTGATCTGATATGTGCTTTTTTCTAGCCAATTGCTCAGGTGAGCGATGTGGCCCCTGGGCCTCTTGTTTAGGTTAGATATAATTTAAGTACATGTACTTTAAAAAAGAAATCAAATTTGCAAAACAACACAAGGAGTTAGAAAATTAATAAAAAAGCATTGATTCATTATTTTTGAAAGATGTTATCTTTTATCTGCAACAATCTTTGCAAATAAAACTTAGCGAGCTAACATTAATCAATATGTTTGCAAACAGATTTGCAATTATGAGATTACACCTTTGAAAAAAAGATTCAATGTTTAAGTAATGACACAACTAAACATCAATATGTGCGTTAAGACAATTTATTCTATTTCATGCGATGTAAGACTATGGATTATGTATATATATATATAAATATATAGGGAAAATGTTGTAGTAGTCCATGGTATAGGTTAAGTTATAAATCAAAATTAAATCCAAGATAAACAAACAATTTTACGTTTTTTTTTGTTTGTTTTTTTAACGTTTAAAATTAAACGTAAACTTGTTTGTTTATCTTGGATTTAATTTTGATATATAAATATATATATAGACTACAGCTTGGAATTTGTAGTTAAATAAATATGAAAAGTCTTAGGAGCTAATGAAAAAAATTAAACTGTGTTTGTGAAAGGTAATGCTCTCGTAATGCAGCTAATGATGAATGTTGTAGGTCAAGACAAAATTCTTTTTGGTACCAACAGAAAAGATTCTTTCAATGAATCCATCTTCAAAAATTAACAGCCATAACAGCAGCAACAGTTTAATAATTATGACCAAAGTTAGAGATTTTTAAAAGTAGGTCTTCAAACTGGACATAAGCAATGAGTCAATATTAATGATGTTAATGATGCCCAAAAGAATTTCACAAAGAAAACACAGGCGAAATATAAGAGTCACAGAATCAGCCATTCAAAAGTTCTGACCAAAGTTTTTTAAAAGAAGTTCAAAGTCTGAGGTCCAAGTAAAAGGAAGAAAATATTGGTATTCAAGAGAAGCTCTTGCCACAAGAAATAAACTGGTAAAATACTTATCCTCTAGCACTAACAGTTTTAGAAGATACGGCCAAAGTTAAATTTTTGAAAAGTAGGTCAAATCCATAAGGTAAGGTCAAAGGTCATTGCGGCTGGTACTCAGTAAAATATCTTGTCAAAAAATGAGCATGAGGAGTATGCTATCACAAGACTTAACCGTTCAATAGCCATGACTTAGATTAAAATTTTGAAAATGTCTTTAATAGTTAGTCAAACTTCAAGTGCAAAGTAAAAGTTTCAAAAATACTTGTACGAAAGAAAAAGTTCTTACACATGGAATACACCGGTGAAATATGACAGCCATACCTCATATGACCTAAGCTCAAATTCCAAAACTAAGGTCAATATATTAAAAGAAAATATTTTAACCATGGAAAGGTCTTTTCATATTATATACACCTGTGAAATATGAATTCCATAATGAAACCAATAAAATGTTATAGGAAAGGCTTATATATTTACCCACTTACAGATAAATAAAATATATCAAAAACAAACAGACAGACGGACCGACAGACCGACCCTCAGAAAAAAATATATCTGGCACTGGTTTTGGGATTACGAGTGCAACAAAAAAATTAAAAGCACATTGTGCTAAAAAAAATTAAACGTATGGTCAGAAGCAATCCGAGTTATATGTTTCCTTGAGAAGATAACGAGAAGCTATGAATAGTTTGATGATGAGGATGAATCTATATCTCTTCCGAGGAAACGAATTTATTACATTTACTTGAAAAGACACTTTTAAATTATTTAGAACTTTTTTTTCACTGTGCTTAATGAAATTATTTTTAAGAAATGATGGTTGCAAATGTTTATCTTGAAATGGAAAGAAAATGAAACATTATGTAACAAAACATGCTTCTGGCTCCAAATAAATTTGAGAAAAGTCACAGAATTAACCATTCAAAAGTTATTGCCAAAATCTTCTAAAATAAGGTCAAAGTCTGAGATCCAAGTTAAAGAATAAAAAAATATTGGTATACCAGGGAAGTTCCTTCCACGAGAGGTAAAACGGTAAAATTATAATCCTCTAGCACTAACAATTTAGGAGCTACGGCCAAGGTTAACTTTTTTGAAAAGTAGGATAAATGCAAGTTCAAGGTCAAAGGTCATTACTGCTGGTACTCAAGCTAAGGTATTATTAAATAAATGAGTGTGAGAAGTATAATATCACTTGATTTAGTCATTTATTGGTTATGGTTCAGATTAAATTCTTGAAAATTTCTTCAAAAGTGAATCAAACCTAAAGGTCAACGTCAAAATGTCAAAAATACTTGTACCCAAGTAAACGTTTTTACACATGGAATAAACCAGTGAAATATGAAAGCCTTAGCTCATATGACCAAGATTTAAATTAAGGAAAATGTTTCCAAAAATGTCAATTTCCAAACTGAAGGTCAAAATGTCAAATAAAATATTTAAACCCAAGAGAAGGTCCTTTTTCATATTTTATACACCTTTGAGATATGAAATTCATACAGTTTCATAGACTTATTACTATAAAAAAAATTAAAGCACTCAAAATCGTGTGCCAGAAAGATGTTATGCTATAAAACACGAGAAGGTTTAAAGTACAGCATATGCAACGGAGAATTTGGCACATGGCTGAAGAGGATAGAAATTTCTTTAAAATGTAC